GTTCGGCAGCAGCCGAAACGAACTGGACCACGCGATCATGGCGTCGCATTCTAGGACCGCTGGTTCTCGGACACACCTGAATTATGTGCTGAGCCGTCTCTGGGCGCATGCATGAGTCACATCTTACATCTCTGCCAGAGTCAATTGCACTGTATTGCGCTCGTCTACGCCTTTGGGGATCTAACTCACGATTAGGGTTCGCAGCACCTGTCGTGGGCTGATGACTCCTAGCAGGAGCCCGCTCACCACGCACAAGGTGTCCGACCCATGACGCAAACAACTCATCGAGTTTCTTCCGAATATCCTCAGTAGCACAACCATCAGCCACCCAGTCCAGGTCATCAACATCAAGGTGTTCGATATTAATCGCCTGTTGGAGCTGGTCCCTCCATAAACCATCTGCCTGAGCAGAGGTATGGGGTTGCTCGCTAGGTGTTACCGTGGGTAGTTCCCCGTCTACCTCCTCAACCTCAAGAGCCGCAAGAACCTCCTTATAGCGGGGGTTCTTGTTCCGCAGACACTTGATGGCCTCGAAAGTTCGATCGGGAACCGAGAATGGAGCACACGGACAACCCCCTGCGGGGGGTTGGTCCCACGGATTTCTAACTCCGCTCTAGCTACAAGGACCATCTCCTCATAGGACCACCTGGCTTTCACCCTAGCTGCCGGTTGTCTAGCAGCATGGTACACATCTGGATGCCTTGCACGACGGTGGACATAAAGACCTCCTAAACTACCAAAGGCATTGTCACAATCGGGACACACAAATTCACCACCATTGGTTCGCTCTGGCAACCGAGCCTGTGCATGTTTCCACTTTACATGGTTACCAAGAGCACCCTTATTCCCAAATGTACGATCGCATACGTCGCACGTCCACATCGTAGAACAAACAAAACGCCAAGTTGAAAACTAAACAAAAAAAATGTGGTGACCAGTAGCCTTATAGAGACAAGGCTTTAAAATATAACGATTCAAAGTCTGGTCACAATGCCGGGGCACTGACCTGTTAGCTTCACTAGCACGAATAGTTCCTAAAAGAACTACCAGGGATGACAAAAGGCTTAAACGTACTAGCTAATAACCTGCGCAACCACGAGAAGGTCCGGTCAGTTGAGAGGAAAATTACGTAGAGAGCAAGTGGAATGAGTTAAGTCTATCTAGCTTTCACTTGCTTGCCTTCTACGCATTTCAAACTCTCTATAAGAGAGTCATAGTTACTCCCGCCGTTTACCCGCGCTTGGATGAATTACTTCACTTTGACATTCAGAGCACTGGGCAGAAATCACATTGCGTCAACACCATTCACCAGCCATCGCAATGCTTTGTTTTAATTAAACAGTCGGATTCCCCTTGTCCGTTCCAGTTCTAAGTTGGTTGTTAATCGCCTGCCGAATCGACCTGACGGTCACAGATGAGCCAATCCACGCGAAGTCCCTTCGCAGTCCGACTTCAACGCGCAGCGAGCCACGCATCTCTGTCAGTCCACGCCGAATCCTCACGCTTCAAGTCCCAGCCCGACAGACCCAACCCTTAGAGCCAATCCTTTTCCCGAAGTTACGGATCTATTTTGCCGACTTCCCTTACCTACATTGTTCTATCAACTAGAGGCTGCTCACCTTGGAGACCTGCTGCGGTTATGAGTACGACCAGACAAGAAAATGAACTACTCGCTCGGATTTTCAAGGGCCGTCGAAAGCGCACCGGACCCCACAAGAAGTGTGGGGCTTTACCGGACGTGAAACCCTATCTCCGGCTAAACCGATTTCAGGGTAACTTTGCCCGTTAAAAGAAAAGAGAACTCTTCCCGGGGCTCTCGCCGACGTCTCCGAGTTCGGTTGCGTTGCCGCTGGTGCCACTAGGTGGCAGTATCCCTGTTCTGGTTCGGGAATATTAACCCGATTCCCTTTCGATAGGCGGTCCACGAATGGGACGCTTTGTAACGGAATTTCCCTATCTCTTAGGATCGACTAACCCATGTCCAACTGCTGTTCACATGGAACCTTTCTCCACTTCAGTCTTCAAAGTTCTCATTTGAATATTTGCTACTACCACCAAGATCTGCACAGGCGGCCGTTTCACCCTGGCTCGCGCCAAAGGCTGCGTCACGACCGCCGCGCCCTCCTACTCGTCGGAACGTCGCACTTGTTCCGACGGCCGAGTATAGGTGCGACGCTTGAGCGCCATCCATTTTCAGGGCTAGTTG